CGGTCCCGAATGGTCCCCCCCATCCCACAGGTGCACCCTGCCATGAAGACTTACTTCATTTGTGCAAAAAATGTCTCAGCCAGTTGAGCGATTATGTTTTTATTCCTTGGCTTTTGCGGTGTCTTTTTGTGTATGCTGGTCCTGGCGATAGTGGTGGTTGTATATGTCATGGATTGCGTTTCTGTGCCTCTGAGCAGACGACAACACCACGAGGACCACCCAGCAGCAGGGACGACGACTTCGACAACTAGGATGATGATGAGGGGGACTTCCAGTGAGGAAGCTGAGGATGCAGAGAACAGGGAAGGTATGGTTATACACAGCTAAAGTTGTGTGAAGCTGTTACTGTCCCTTTAAGAGACAAATAAGCACCTCTCGCAAATAGACACCACCACTTAGACCTGCTTTCAGATCATCTAAAGTTTAGTCTACTTTCATCCACTTAATCAGTTCGGCCGGGGGTCCAGCATGGGACAGTACAGTCTGTCAAATTCCCAAACACGCTACAGAGGTTCGCACCTGCAAGAAAATAAGTCATTTTTGACCCCAAAAATGCTAACGAGAAATGTTGTTCCAACAAAAAAATATTTGATTAAACATTTTACTGCACCCTTTTTTGGGGAAGCTATTTTTTTCCTTTAAGATGATCAATGCCGTAAGATTTGACTTAACTTGAAAAAAAATCAAGTGACATAACCAAATGTTCTGTGGTGTGACATTTGCAGGTTATTTTCATTTAATCCAATTAAAATTTCTTTGAAAAAAAATAAACTACAAAAACTCTGGATAATTCTTCAAATTATGAGCATCGAAACACTTTGTAACTCGTGATGTTCGTTAAACTAACATTGTGGCCGGGTTAAGGCTCAATGAGAGTGGGTTGCTGGGCAAGACGCTGCTCATTTACCGTCCCCAAAGCTTGACTGCAGGATACCCTTTTTTGGGGAAGCTCTATTTTTTTCTGTTAAGATGATTAATGCCGTGTCTGTAAGATTTGACTTAACTTGAAAAAAAATCAAGTGACATAACCAAATGTTCTGTGGTGTGACATTTGCAGGTTATTTTCATTCAATCCAATTAAAATTTCTTTGAAAAAAAACAAACTACAAAAACTCTGTGGATAATACTTCAAATTTTGAGCATCGAAACACTTTGTGACTTGTGATGTTCGTTAAACTAACATTGTGGCCGGGTTAGGGCTCAATGAGAGTGGCTTGCTGGGCAAGACACTGCTCATTTACCGTCCCCAAAGCTTGACTGCAGGATCAACTCTCCACCAGTAGAGGGTACTAATAAACTTTGAAACGTTCATTGGGAGTTTGAAAAAAGTTCACAGTTGGATATAAACTGAAAATGTCTGCTTGGAAGATGACCGCCAATCTATCTTCAAGGCAGATATTCTGTTTGGACCTATTTTTGTGACCAAATTACACTCTTTTTGCCCCGCCCTACAGATTCGCTAACAAGATGCAAATTGGAGGAGCGTAATATTCATGAGCACAAGAAAAATCAGCTTTTTAGGGACTGTTTCCAGGGTGCGCATAATATTTAGAGTGTGTGTTATTCTCGAGAAATTACAGTAGTCAGCAGCAATATATCAATTAATAGTTTCTCTAAGCTCCCACTTTCCTTTGGAGCAGACCCTCCTTCCTCTGCAGACGCATCGAGCTCCAGTCAGAGGCGTAAGTTGTCGGCGCCGCCAATGAACGTATCACTGGAGCGCAGCGAGGGCTCCCTGCTCTCTGAGGATGCCCTCGACACAGACGAGGAGGAAGCGGCTGTGGACACCGGAGACGACCTGGACGTGGACATCGAGGAGCTGGACACGTCGGAAGATGAGCGTGACCCCACCGTTCCGCCGGAAGGGGGCCGCGAGGGCCACGAGGAAAGTCGACTGTGGAGGAGTGTGGTGATCGGCGAGCAGGAGCATCGCATCGACATGAAGTGCATCGAGGCCTACAAGAGGGTCATCTCGCACGGAGGTGTTGACGCGCACATATTCGCAACCTCTTGATGCCTCCCATGTGTAACGCTCGTGATTTTCTTCGTCAGGTTATTATGCCGAGCAGAATGCCATCATCGTGTTTGCAGCCTGCTTCCTGCCTGACAGCGACTGTGATAGTTACAACTATGTCATGGAAAACCTCTTCTTGTAAGGAAAACTTCACTTACTAATACTGCACTTTGAAAACTGCTGGGTTAAAAGTTAGCCAAATTGGGTGAATTTTTGAAACCAGCACTGGATCCAATATGGGCTGAAATGAAAATTTGTATATTTTATTTGTATTTTTTAGTTTTTTTTGTTCATGATAAATACCTTGTTCCAAAAATTTTCGAAGAATATTTCACCGATCTAAAATAGCAAGCAGCTTCAGTTCTTCAGCCCACCCAAATCCAACCTTCAATCCAAAATATTTAACCCAACCTTGGGTAAAATTAACCCAATGCTCACACAATCCAACCCAGCGCATGTGTTGCTACCTTGACATTTTTTTGTGTTTTATTTATTTTTTTGCTTTTGAGTATTACTAAAGTAATGCCCTCCCATGTGGGCAAGGGGAGCCACAGGGGCAGATGCAATTTTCAGCCTTGTATTTGAACACCAGGAGGATTGAAAAGCAACCATGCAATAAATGAAAAAAACACTCTGCTGCCTAAACACCCAACCCGACTCCAACTCCTGACGTGGTATTATTATATGTGTACTGTGTAGGTACGTCATAAGCACCTTGGAGCTCATGGTGGCAGAGGATTACATGATTGTTTACTTGAACGGCGCCACACCTCGCCGCAGGATGCCTGGCTTCACATGGATGAAGAAGTGCTACCAAATGATTGATCGGAGGTGACAATTTTTTTTCCCCATATATTGTGGCTTTAACCTGTTGTTTTTTTTTTTTTTTCTCGTGGAACATCAACAAGTTAGGGATTCTAGCCTGGGTTAAGATCGTGGTTTCAAGCCAGGCTTAGGGTATTAAACAAGGGTTAAGGTTTCAAATTAGGGGTTTTTGAGTCCATTGTGGTACCTTCCTTCGTTCATTCTTACCCTCTCTTATACTGTCTTTTGATCTCCCTTCCAACCGTCCTGCCTTCCTTCCATTCTGCCTTCCCTAATTCCTTCATCCGTCCTTTCTCCCTTTCTTTTGTCTCCTGAATTCCATCCTTTGTTCCTGCTTCGTTTCCTTTCTTCCTCCCTTTCCTCCATTCTTTCTTGGATTTTTCGTCCTTCGTTCCTTCGTTCATCTCTTCCTTCATCCTGTTTCCTAACATTTTTCGTCCTTCGTTCATCTCTTCCTTCATCCTGTTTCCTAACATCCTCTTAATTTGTGTTCTGGTTGATCCACAATCATCCCAGCAATGGGACTCGGGTTGCCGTCACCATTTGAAGCTGTTCACTTAAGATCCAGGTGCTACCTACTGTATTCTGCTTTAGGCTCTTTGTCTGGTCTCAATGATGATGTTTACTTCTTGCAGGCTGAAGAAGAACCTGAAGATGTTCATCATTGTCCATCCTTCCTGGTTCATCAGAACACTGTTAGGCATCACCAGACCCTTCATAAGGTTCATTGTGTCTCTGTTTTTACTCTATTAGTCATGGGAAGCGATCAAGTGCAAAGGTTTCTGTGCTTACTCTAGTTTAGTTTAGTTTCCTTAAGTACGGGGCGTGAACACTTTTGCCAACTCTGGTTGATAGCCATTAGCCAATCTACAGTTCTCTACGCTTATCAAAACATTGTGTTTTGTGTGTTGTGTTCAGCACCAAATTCAGCAGTAAGATCAAGTATGTGGGCAACCTGCAGGAGCTGGGACACATCATCCCCATGGAGTACGTCCACATTCCGCCCAGCATCATTAAGTGAGTTTTTGTGGGGACGTACCTCCCCGACTGAATCCACCTCTTCATGCCACCACGACCACCTCACAATTGTAGAAACCATCAATACTGTACAAAAAACCCCCAAAACAAAACGTAACAACTGTGCCATGTATATCATCTAAAGCGGTCCAGAATCAATATTTATCTGACAAGAACACACAAAAGGTTTTGCTCTGACCTACCAGACCTAGGATGAGAACATGCTGACATCACTGAGGGCATGCACTTTGACATGAGGATGAATTTGAAATCAGTCTGACCGGGAATACTTTATATATCAGCTGGCACTATCAAATCTGAAGCCCCCCCCAAAAAAAAAAATCCTACATCCACATACATGTACTGTACTGATAACCACGGCTCCCCTGAAGGCCCACTCGCACTGGTTAGTATACACCAACTGGCCACATTAGGTACACCCTAAGTACCCCCCGACACCCAACACAATACTTTCTGCATGCATTTTGTTTTGAAAATTGGAAGATCATCCTTGCGGGCAAGTGACAAAAAAGGCCTTTGGTAAAAATCTCACTTTGTCTGTTGAGCTTGATTTTCCATGTCCCCTTTACAAGGTATGACCAACAGAGGGCGGCAAACACATTTGCATGCATGAGGTAAAAAGCACCGAGCAGCCGCCGGTCACTGTACTAACCTTCATCAGATGCAGCCACACACCAGTTCATTAACGTTTCTAAAGTCCACTTGTTACATTTGTGGCTTTAAATCCTTTGCCTTCTCTGCTCACTTGGCGGTTTGTATGTTGAGACGCGCCTGCCAACTGTTCGCAAATTCCTCTAGTTGCGTTTTCTTTGCCTGGGTTGTTAGTGAAAGTTACAGAAAGTCGTGAATGCATGTGCATGTACGGGGTGAGTAAGATGAGTTTGAAATGATATGAAGGTGATTTTCCAGCATAGGTTGTGGTCCATTCATTGATTAAATTATTAAACTATTCACAATGATGGTGTTCCCGCTGTAACGGAATTATCCTTTTTTTTAAGCGATTGTTTTTCTGTAGGTTTTACAGTGTACTTACTGTAATGCCCTCACATATGGGAAAGGAGAGCCACAGTCACCAATGCACCTTCAATTCATTTATAATTGCCAGGACAGCACTGGAGCATGTGCTGCTGTCCACCACAGCTCACGCCTCAGACATTCATATGCAAAGTTGCCCCACCAGGTCCCGCCTCTTAAAGGCACATGTATATACACTGACACTACAGTACTGTCTTGTCCAGGGAAACCAAGACAATAAAAGTCTTTGTACAACGGAATTTATTTCAGTTACAGTTGATGGAGAGGCAACATTTTGCAGATCTGTGATGGAGTCACTCCCCAAGCAGTGACAGTAGTTTCAAGTCAACATTAGGGTCCAATCATGACAGATTGTGGATTAATTTCCCTCGACCGTGTCATTGCCTGGAAACCATTGCGCCACGCACTCTTCTGGAACTTTTCTATGCTTAAACACCCTGAGAATTCCTTTCTGTTGTTCTTTGGAATAATTAACCAGTTTTCTCAATTTTGCCTCCTTGTTCTTAACTGAATCCTCCTTGCTTGTCAAGAGTTTTCTTTTTTTTTTTTTATCGTTACAGCTGCGCTTCCTGCTTTTGTCCCATCCTAAATGTAATGCAACTTTTATGTTTTAGCTAAAAATAACAACAACAAAAAATCATCTATACTCCACTTTCCTGCACCCTACTCATGTGGGACAGTCGACACGGACTACTAATCGACAAACAATAATGAGGTCTCCCTGAAACAAACCCCCCACCTCATTAACCTCTCTTCTCTGCCCTCTATTGCAACGCCACACACCAGGCTGGACTCAGATTTAAAGGACGCCTCAGGAAAGTAAGTCTACATAAGCAACAACATAATACACGGTGGTATCATGATACGATACAGCATTTGCACGATTATTGCTTGTTTAAAAGTAGCGGCACGGTGGGCGACTGGTTAGCACGTCCGCCTTACAGTGCAGAGGTGCAGGGTCCAATTCCGGCTCTGGGGATTCTTGTGTGGAGTTTGCATGTTCTCTTGGGTTTTCTCCCACATTCCAAAAACATGCATGGCCTACTGCCCAAAGACAGGTGGGCTCCAGCACGCCCGCGACCCTTGTGAGCATAAGCGGTTTAGAAAATGGATGGATGTTAAAAAGTATGACAAGGGCAGTGCCGTGATACGGTGATAATCACTCTATTGGGAGAAAACGACAACACAGTAGCTATGACAGAAAACAATATCTACGATATGTTACTAAAAATATATATTGAAACAACAACAACAAAAGCATGATAGTATATAACTATCATTATCACTACGTACAACTATACGAGGCGGCCCAGTGGTCCAGTGTTTAACACGTCGACCTCACAGTGCAGAGGTCATGGGTTGCCTACTGCCCAAAGACAGGTGGGCTCCAGCACGCCCGCGACCCTTGTGAGCATAAGCGGTTTAGAAAATGGATGGATGTTAAAAAGTATGACAAGGGCAGTGCCGTGATACGGTGATAATCACTCTATTGGGAGAAAACGACAACACAGTAGCTATGACAGAAAACAATATCTACGATATGTTACTAAAAATATATATTGAAACAACAACAACAAAAGCATGATAGTATATAACTATCATTATCACTACGTACAACTATACGAGGCGGCCCAGTGGTCCAGTGTTTAACACGTCGACCTCACAGTGCAGAGGTCATGGGTTCGATCTCGGCTCCGGCCTTCATGTGTGGAGTTTGCATGTTCTCCCCGGGCCTGCGTGGGTTTTCTCCAGGGACTCCGGTTTCCTCCTACATTCCAAAAACATGCATGGCAGGCTGATTGAACACTCTAAAATTTAAAATCCAGCAACCCCCGCGACCCTTGTGAGGATAAAGCGGATCGGAAAATGAATGAATGAACAACTATACGAAAGCCAAAAGGAGCACGAAGTGGGCTGTGGGGGCAAAACGGGAGCGTATATAAAATTCTCCTTAAATAAATGCTTGTCAGATATCAAAACAATTTTGATTGGAATTGATGACAGAGAAAGCGAGAGAGAGCGATTTTAATTTTTGGAATAATTATAAATGAAGAAAAACAATGAGCAGCTGCAAAAAGGACACTCTCTTTCCAGAGCAAAAGGCCGAGTGCTTGAGCACCACCTCGGGCCTATGTGCGCACGCGCCGATGTACCACGATGCTGTTGTTATCCTGATCTCCATTAATCATTATCTTTTCCTGTCTGCCAGGTCTGACAGAAAGAGAAGTTTGGCCATTTGACAAAATGAGAGGTCCACTTGTGGCTGCCCATCTTCCCGCCAACGGTGAGGAGCTTTCGTCGAGGCTTCGAGAGAGAACCACGTTAATTTGTACGTGGAAGGGAAGGTGCTTGCAAGTCTGCACTTAATGAGGTTTACATTGGAATCCATTTATTACTGTGTATTTACCACTTGACTAATATGCCTTTTCTTTCACTCTACTGTATTAGTAGCATTTCTGACCATAAATAACGTCTCATGCATTTGAACAATGTCGGAGTTTACAAAAAAAAAATCCATACAGACACACGCACACAATAAATCTCTGTACTGTACTTATCGATAGACTAATACGAGTCATTGACCAAGCATCGCTTTAAATCAGGGGTGGTATGACTGGATTGACTTTGACTGGGGAAAAGCCTTCCCTGTGGTAGCGTGTCATCGCAAAATACCGCCAACGATACCACGATACCACGATACAACGTGACGTATTGGAAGAATATCATCTACGATCGATTTTGATATCTGGGTAATTGAATGTAAAAGAAAAACAATCGGACAGCTTTAATATAAAGTGGAGGCAAACTATGTGCTATACATGACAATATCGACGAAACTAAATAAGGGAACATCGTACACAAGTAATATTAACACAGTAAAGTTAGTATCACGGTACAATTCTGATGCAATAATCCGTTTTTGGAATAAAACGTACAATATATGTAAAGAAGGGAAAACGCGTACAGAAAAAAAAAAAAAAACTGTGACGGCAATGTGAATATTGATACCTGTGTTGTCAAAGACAGTTTTGTCCCACCCCCTGATTCGAACCTGACCACGGTCAACAATCTCAAATGCGGCTTACTCTACTAATACATTCTATCACTGTGAAAGTCTTTGGGGTAGCAAACTAGCACTTGAATGTGTCTGCGGTGACTTACTTGTGCATGACCTTCCCACGCGTGTGTGCATGTGTGACCGAAGAATTGTTTACGAAGTCTCGTGTGTGCGTTCCACACTTTTATTTGGGATTCTGCCGTCATCTTCGTACTGTAAAATAAAGAAAAGACTGCTCATCCCTTGTCGAGTGTGTCTCTATGTTTTATTCGGTATACGTAGCAATAAAAAACAAACAAACAAAAACCCCCCCACAGACTGATATGAGTTAATTTGCAGGCCAGTGCACCATCAACATGATTTGTGCTGGCCGTGACGATTGGTCTTCTTGCAGATCACTGTAAATTCAGCAGGATTTGCAATCAACCAGACATCTGGGCGAGTGCTCTTTGTCGCAGGTATTTTTCCAGATAGTACATGGCGACAGGGTCCGTGTTCGTGTCAAACTTGTTGGCAAAGAGGTGCCGCTGCCTCAGCATCCACTGCAGGTCGCCGACCCCGTACACGCATATGGCCCTCACGTGGATGCCGTTGCACGGCGGGTACACGGCGTGTATGGAGGCTCGCTCGCCCTCGTGATGTTGCCACTTGACCAGCCGAGCCAGGGCGTAGACGTCGCTCACATCGTACTTGGTGCTGGCCCACATGGAGCCGGGCACGCCAGGCATGCGCTGAACAGTCGCCCACAGGAACTCGTCGGGGCTAAATGTGTCCTTGGCCCACTCTATGAGGGCCAGGACACGCCGGTCCTCTAGAACACTACGGACGAAGCCCCGAGTCACCACAATGTAGGCGTTCCCTGACAGGATGGGCAGTTGGAAGGGCGGCGGCTCCTTTACCTTTCCCACCCCCTGACACAAAGGGAAAGTCAAATTGTTCCATGTTTTATTATGACCCAACAACCACCACCGCCCCTTAAAGGAATGAATGTTGTGTTTAACCTGGTTTCACCTTACAATTGAGAGCACATTCTGGATGTCAACAAATTGTATTAGATAAATGAATATTCAATTATCGGACTTAAAAAAATATTTTAATAATTGTAATCTAAATAAATTAACAATAATTTAATACAATAAATACAATCTTCTTCTTCTCCTTTCAGCTTGTCTAAATAATTTAATACAATAAATACAATAATAATAATATTTTTTTAGAATAAACAGTTTAAATTTAGGAACTGTCAAATTCACACAAAATATTACTGGTCGAGGTACAATGCTATTTCTACTTCTACAGTCTAACCTTGATGCGTCCATCCACTTCCTGGTGAACCCTCTGAACCCTCCACATCTTTTCCTTGGGCATCTTCTCCGACTCCAGGCTGTTGGCGCCATTGAGCGCCCGAAGCGCCCGCACCATCTCCAGGTTGGTCTTAAGGGGAAAGTCCTGGCCACAGAGGTTAATGAAGTACTTCCACGCCACGCCTGTGCCCAGCAGCTCGGACATGCAGTTAAGGTCGGCCTGGACCCGGGACCAGCCGGCGTAGACCACGCTCTCTCGCCGGCTGGCCAGGAACACATTGGGGAAGCAGGAGGCCACGGCCGAGACTGCAGCCAGCACTGACGGCGACGCCTTCAGGTCCACATGGATGCAGTAGATGTTCTGAGGAGCGTAGATGGCCCGGAGGAGACGCTCGAAGTTCTGAACCTACAAAAGAAACGGGGTAGATGGACTTCTACAGTGACACCTTTATTTACCGAATAAAGTTGTCTTCTATCTGTCAATCTATATTTATGAATGAAATAAGATGACATTCACCACATATGTCCATAGAGTTTGCCAACCTGCGCCTCGATTATATCTGCCAAAATTGCATTACATCACCTGCACCACAACTTAGACCTGCTCCAAGCTAGCCTCAATTCTAGTCTACTTTTTTTTCCACCAAATTATCAGCTGTGCCGGGTGCGTGTAATGAAAAGATGCCCTTGGTCCACTGGAATACCCGGCGAGGCACAACACTGTCTGCCAAATTCCCAAACACAGCAAATGAGACCTGAAGATGTACGAGTTTGCTGTCACCATACCTTGTGATGCACAACCATGGAGTAAGCCAGCGGAAAGTCCTTCTCCTCCCAGCTCAGGGGGAATGTGAGATACTTCCTGCTTGACTTGAACTTCCTGTGGTAGGAGAGAGACTCTGAAAAATATTAGAACAGTTCTTGGCCCACCGTTGTGAAAATCAAATTTTTTTGACCAATTTCTGCAAAAATTCTGGTCACTCCAAAGGATTCACATACTTGTTCAGGTTTGTTACTAACATGAGAGCCGTCAGGCTGCAAGTCCGTCAAAACAAACAAACAAACAAACAAAAAAACCCCAATGTGGCCTCGCTGTTCCTATATCCTTGGATGGGGGGCGGGCGGTACAGAATATACGAACCCTCACCTGTAGTCTTTAGTGGCGTTCACGTAAAATTGGTCAAGGACACTGAGGCGCTTGCGGAAGTCTTTGGTTAGGGGTTCAGGTTTGTTACTGACATGAAAGCAATCCAGCTGTAAGTCTGTAAAAACAAACAAACAAACAAAAAAACCCCAATGTGGCCTCGCTGTTCCTATATCCTTAGATGGGGGGCGGGCGGTACAGAATATACAAACCCTCACCTGCAGTCTTTAGTGGCGTTCACGTAAAATTGGTCAGGGACACTGAGGCGCTTGCGGAAGTCTTTGGTTAGGGTCAACAACTTGGCCTGCTCCAGTGCCTGCCGCTCGCCCCGCAAGATGGCAGAGCAGTTGCACGCCTTCTCCGGGCTGTCGTCATCATCATCATAGTCAAGCCAAGTGTAGCGTCCGAGGATACCTGGAGTGGGATTCCAGCCCACCTTGAGAATCCCACTGATTAGTGAGAGCATACAAAGGGTGGCCAGCAGGGCGGCCAGCTTGAGACACAAGTGATTGCGCTGTCCCATCTGGCTCAGCCACATTGTCAGCTGTGAAAACGACATGGACAGTACATGCTAATAATTTTCAAATCATAAAGGAGTGATTTCACAGTTTTTAAAAAAAACAGTGGCATTTTAAAAATTTGATTAAACAATGTTTCTAAATCTTTGTATTTTATAAAACATTCTGAAATTATTCTTTTTTTTTAGATAGCAACCAGTTCATGGTGGCCTACTCCATGAAGACAGATGGGATCGTCTCAAGCACGCCCGTGGGCCTCGTGAGGATAAGCAGATTCGAAAATGGATGAATAGTTATTCATTATTGCAATTGAGATGCAAGGATTATGGGTCACATTTTTTGGTGGAAAGTGTTTTGAAATTATTTTGGTTATATTGTCCATATGATAAAAATATGGCATTTGAACAGGGGTGTGTTAACTTTTTATATCCATGGTTTGAGAACGTATAGTCTGCTGTACAACATACAATAAATATTAAGTGAACTTGATTAAAAAAAAAGTTTAATCAGAGCACTCATAAAATGAATTACCAACTAAATTCAAGAATATAACAAATTTGAGTTACGATCAATCATAGGCCAAAGAGAACATTAGTTTTTGAAAATGGATTAATACTGCATACTTTTTTTTCCAAAGTATAAATGGGGCTTTTTTTTTTTTTTTTTTTTTTTTTTATGAATAAATCAGTCTGACCTTTGTGTCTTTCTGCTAAGTGTCTGTTTGGAAGAAGTTGTCCTCAACTTTTGAACACTTTCAGCACCGATGACAATACCGAACACTTCCTGTCAGCTTTTTTTCAAAATAAAGTTTATGCAACAGTTCATTTATTATGAACGGCTTGTTCTTCTTCTTAATTTTAGATTTTTTAAAAATTCTATCATGTGAATAATTTGTATAATTACTGAAATATTTGGTTTATATTTTTGTTATAGTATATGCAGTCTATTTTCCAATTTTAAAATAACAGCATGGTTTTCAATAATAAAGAAAAAATACAATGTTCCTCTAAAAAAATCTTTAACATGTATTATTTATTTTACATTTATTTTCAAATGATAATTTGATGCAATGAATAAAAGTATACTAATTTAATTTGCTTTAAACTTAATCCAAAAGGTAAAAACAAGTTTCAAAAATGTTTATTAGTATTTAAAATCTTCATAATTGAACAAGAATATAATGACTTTGACTGAAATAAATTTTGATTGTTACATTTTTAAATAATGTACATTATTACGTTTATTTATTCATTTTTAAAAAGCGTAAATTGTGTATTTACATCGACAATATTTGAGACGAATCGTATTTAAAATAATTAAGTTCCAAAATCAATATAATTTGGACGTATATTTTAAACGGTGACCATTCAATTACTTTTTATTTTTTTAACATGAAATAAAACGTGGATTGTTCAGGTGCATTTTAAAACGGATCACTGCCGCCTCCCTGTGCTTAATTCAAGCATCAGCAACAAAAAGGCTTTTTGCGATGTTCTTTGTTCAAAACGTCTCAACATTTTAGGGTTACGACAGAATATTCGAACCAGACGCGAAAACTCATCCTAATTTCATTACTTTGATTCTAATGCTGTGGAAATCCCCGCTTGTTGTCTCTGCTTCATATTAATATTGTTGTCGTCATGTGACTTAACTTTTCGAGGAAACTCCCCACAATTACGCACCAAAGTGCCACAAATTGTACTACTGAGTGTTGTGCAAAAAAAGTTTCCTCTTGATGAGTGACTCACGAACCCTCCTCAAATCATGTCAGTGACATTTCATTGTGAGTCACAGCAATATGAGCTGTTATATGGCCAATGTTAACGTTCTCAGTTTAGTTTTTATATGATTGGTGCATCCTTCTGAGCTGAGCCTTCCGTGGGGTGCTTACCTGAACCTTCACAAGATCAAGAGGTGCTTGCTTCTGCTGGAACTGCCTGAAAATGTGATGGAAATACAGACAGTTTTCAGGACGGTTTAAAACTCCCTCTTGGATACTGTTAGCGAGATCCCACAGATTAGGGGTGCCCAAACTTTTTGGACCAAAGATCGACTTTTCGATCAACCAACCCCCCGCGAACGACCCGTTACCGCACACGCACATACACACGCACGCCACGATGAGCAACAGCCCGACACGGAGGCATGCACGCACTTTTGCAGCATGTTAACTACAGTAGCTCACACTTACCGTTTTAAAGTGCTTCCCTCGGCCCTCTAGATTCCTATTCTTTGTCCGTGCCCTCGGTGAATTGTACACGAAACAAACTCTGAATGAGAATAATGATGATGATAAAAGATACAGCATGACAGCTCTGATAACAAACTGCAATTGCAGACTGCTGAGCGCTGACAACCTCCCGGGACACAGGTCACGTGGCACTGTAGGTTAAAGATTTACCTGCTTTATTTTATTTTATTTTTTAATACTTTTTGTGAAAATGAGACTGATTGGATAATTAGGGTGCCGTGCACATCAACACAAAAAAATATATTACCAACATGCACAAAGACACACAAATGGTTGTTTGTTTTTTTTTCTCCTCTACACCCCTCGCGATCGACTTGGGACAGTCCGCGCGTGTGTGTGTGTGTGTGTGTGTGTGTGTGTGTGAGTGTGTGTGTGTGTGTGCGTGTGCGCGTGCGTGCGTGCGTGCGTGCGTGCGTGCGTGTGTGTGTGAAAGTCAATTAAAGAGATCATTTGAGCCTATTGGCGAACATCTACTTATCAGGCACAGCACAATCAAGGTTTCTTCTGTAATTCATTTTTTTGTGCTCCAACTTATTGGCAAGCAGAGGCACTGGTATTGTTTTTTTAAAGTCCCCCAAAATGGCCCATATGTTTCTATTAGTCATTTCCCGATCAAGCCTAAATGACTGGGTGTGGTAAATGATCTATTGCAGTCACATGCTTGCCAAGTCATTTTTTTTAAATATCAAATCTGTCATACTACTGTGGATGTGGCTTCAGATGTGGAAACACAATAATGTGACTGCAAATTATCATGACTTCGAACAAACAACAATGGTGGGGGGGGGGGGAGATATCAAAGTGAGACATCCCGCAAAGTTTGGCTTGAACACAAAATCCCAGATTCTGCTCACCAAAAGTGGCCATTGTAATTCTTGAGAAAGCTGTCTTTTGCATGCTTCTTTGTTCATTTAGTAGCAACATTTGCATGAATAATCAAAGTGTAATTTAGGCTGTCTTTAACAGTCTCAAAAGGAGCTGCTGTGAACAATAAACATTCACATGAGACGCAGCTCAACAGTACCAAAAACAAACAAACAAACAATGTGATGCTCATTAGCAGTTCATTTAATTTAAACATGTTACCAGGCGTGGAAGAACTACTCACACTCTCGGTAGCTTATGGAACATGCTCATTCAAGTGGCGCTGCGCTGCTCCTTCTTGTGTCCATTCCTTGGCCAACAGATGGTTTTCTATCCATCCATCCATTTTCCAATCCGCTTTATCTCACAAGGGTCGTTTAGGGTGCTGGAGCCAATCCCAGCTGTCTTCGGGCAGTAGGCAGTGGACACCCTGAACCGGTTGCCAGCCAATCGCAGGGCACACAGAGACGAACAACCATCCGCGCTCACACTCACACCTAAAGACAATTTTTGAGTGTTCAACCAGCCTGCCATGCTTTAGAATGTGGGAGGAAACCGGAGTACCCGGCGAAAACCCACGCAGGCCCGTGGAGAACAAACCCACACAGGCCCATGGAGAACATGCAAACTCCCCACAGGGACAGATGGTTGTATGAAACAGAAAGATATACTTCATTTAGATTTGATCATCAAAAACAGAGGAATACAAGTTGCCAGTTGTTTTGGCCGAAGATAAAGAATATATGCCTGTGAATCGTGTCGTATGCTCTGCCTTTGAATTTCACTGACATCTGGGGCAGTTTTGTCCAGAATGTTACAGAGGGCAAAGTTATTGAACCACCTCATATCCACCCCCCCTCAGATTCAGATGATTTCTGAATAGCAAGGCGTCAGAGAGTGAGTAATATTTACAAATGGGAGATGTTGTGATATTATTAGTGGCCCGGGCCCTGGATGGATTGCACATCGTGTGTGGTGTGAAATCAATCAGAGTCTCCAAAAGTCATCCGTCACCCTTCGACTTCCTTTTACAAACTTGAATAACGCATTTGAAACGAAACATCTTGCAAGTAATTAACAATGATGGATTGTAAATTCAGACGTCATGGAGGCCGTAATTATACTGACTAACTTGTGCCAAGATTGGGGAGGAAGATAAAACATCATGAGTCTATTTGATTTCTGGAAGCTGGAGTTGTATAAAAATCGCAGCCATCATTTGCAACAAGCCAAACTCATATTTATTCCCTCTCGGTTGACGATTTCCTAACATGATACGTAATTAACATGATGAAATGATCAGGGCCATCATTCAATGCTGTGTTTTTTAACCATCTAAAAATAATACACACACAAAATAGATTATGAATTATATATTGTTTTTTAAGAGAAACATGTAAGCATGGCTTTACGTACCATATCAAGTAATTTCACATTTTACACATTGCATCATAAATGTTGTTTTTGTTGTGATCGTAAAAAACAAAAATAAAAAAATATAAATCACACGAGTCACAGATAATGAACGCCTGTGAGTATTGTTATGCTATGTCTGCATGTGTTGCTGCACCGTTTGTACTCAAATATGAGTTGTTTAAAGGTTTATGATTTACCACGATACGATGCTAGTTTAATTAGCCTGTCTATGGGGTTTCAAAATGCACGTTAGCATTAGGCTAGCAGATTTTCAAAAGACAAGTTACGTGGTTTTAATCCTCATGTAATTCTCTTTGCTTTCGGTTTTATTAAACTGTAAACTTCAATTGGGAGTAGCAATAAACGACTTGAAGCACGCACACTTCACTTCTTTTTGAAGAAATGTTCACTGACAATGCAGATTCCTAAGACACTCACGTTGGCATTTTAAGGCTTGATGTATGACTGTGGAGCAATCATATTGAGAGGTTCTTCTAAAATGATGGTCTCCTTCATTGAAAGCTCCCTAGACATATTTTCAGTTAACAAGCTTTCAGGCATCCAATACTTTTTAAACATTTTGTCATGTCCAAAATTCAGGGTGGATGGCAAGGTAACGCTTCCATTCCAGCAAGACTCTTCTTCCCAAAGTGGGTGTGTTATTTTCATTTCACACCATCAAATGCTGCGGTCATACATGTGTTTTGCCCGTGGACCGTCAACTTCATTGCTTGGTTACGTCAGCCAAGCCGCCAAAACAACCCTAACAATGGAACCAGTGTGTCAAAGTGCCACTTCATGAAAATATGAGCAAATTATACCCGGAAAGTTTCAACTTTTTCATGAAGACTCATCATTTCCCAAAGTGTGCTTTGTGGAATCTGGGCATTGCTGTTAGTTTTTTTTTTTTAATCGAATTCTGTGAGCACCAGACTTCTAATTTGTAAAAAAGGCAATTGCAGGCACTTGAAACGCAGTGAATCACAGTCATGGTCAAGTGACAATTTCCAAAGTAAACGTGCTCATAAAGAAGCAAGAACCCACACAAAAGTCAATACAAACAAATAAATAATGTGTATTGTTTGCTATTGTGCAAGTGGTTTGTAGAACGGTGCCGCATCATGAAAAAATGGAAAAGAGAGAACACCACCATGGTAGCAGAAATTAGCTTGGCGATGTTATTTCTGCCGAGTCATGCTTCTCTCTTTTTTTTTCCTCCTGTTTGGCTAAAAACATGAAATCATACTGAAATAAACCTGATTGAAAAATTCCAAAACCAGGTTACATTTAATATCTAAACTGCTCATCAAGAGATAGGGACAGGAGACGAGATTTAAGAGAATTTTAGATGGCGCAACTTCCAAGCGTTTGTTTTTCCATCATCTCTTGGTGTTCCTACATGGCGACCTTGAGAAATGAAGTAAAAGAAAGAATTTTTCCACCTCCTGTCTGGAAAACTGCCTGATAAATTCCAGAGGCCGTGTTTGTTCTCAAGCTTGAATTGTACTTTGGTTTTCCTGGAAGTGATAGAGAGACTGGTTCATAAAATGAAAATCATTTTGTTGACGCGGTTAAATATTATACTAGAATACAGTCAGTTTTATTGTGACGAGTGTTACATGGGAGTCTTTCGACCTGATGAAACATTTACAGTATATCTTCAGGTTTGGGGATTTATTATATGTGATCAAAAAAAAAACAAAAAAACTCACTCATCCAAAAACCGCCCACGCCCCTCAAAACCACCCCGAAATAAGCCCTCACACCAAGGCACCCCAAAAACTTTTTTCCTTAAAAAAAAAATCCTCTCACATATACACATTCCACTTGTACCTGAAACACCTTTCATTTTCAGGTGGCTCAGAAAATGTTTTACCTTTGAGTTACCTGAACCGTTATTGATGTATCGGGCAGACGTATTGACATTCACGGCAATTTCGAGAGAAGTTAACATGATTTTAGAACGTGGGTTCCATTCCAACTCTACTCTCCACAAAAAGGCTTGCACCATGATTCAAGTTGGAAGTGTTTTTGCTTTTAAATCTTGTCTTCTTCGCAATTACAATTCTAACCCAGGCCCATGATTACTTCATTAGCTTAATATCGCACTGCCGCAAATAAATGGCCACTGACATTGACCTTGGACGGCTTTGTGGACCCGCCTTTTAAATGAGAGCGTGTCCTGACATTTTCTGCTTTAAAAAAAAAAAAATCATGCGCACATAACAGAAACAAGCAAGCTATTTTTTGCGGGTATGATTTCGTTAATAGGAACATTTTGTTATTGATCGCAGATATACTTTAAAATTTTCATTCTCTCAACGTACACATGAAAACCTTTTAAGCCATCCAAGTGAAGGCCTTATCCAATAGCCTCCCATCCTCCTCCTCTTTGGAAACCGTGTATGAGGAAGTTTGGCTTCAAATGAAAAAGCCGCCGCCCAAACTAATATGTCATCCAGGATAGCAGTAAACCGAGAAACCGTTTACCATTCACATAAACCAGGATGATAAAAATAGGCCGGGATACATTGGATAAATAAAGCAAAACGTTGGAACGTTCACGTCATGAGCCAGACTTCTATCCTCTCTTGTGGTCCGATGCTTGTCATCCACATCGCCTTTACATTCTTCAGGCCTCCTTGTTCATCTTCTTCGAGAAAATGAAAAATAAGAGACCGGCATCCATCGAGGACTCACACACACACACACACACACACACACACACACACACACACACACACACACACACACACACACACTATATATATATATATATGTTACCTCATGTTGTACGATGTCATTAATCATATTGTTGAAAGTGGTGATTGACTTGAAGGAGTCATTTCACACTTTGAAAACAACCGCGAAAATAATACAGCTTCGCCTATCTGTTTTTCCTCCAACCGAGATTTCAAAATACCTAAAGAAGCATGCAGATTATTCACAATTCACACACATTGAAGGAAGGCAAAAAAAAAAAAAAAAAACTAATCTAAATTACACAAATTTATTTGGAATATTTCTTGAAAATATTGAAAATACAAACAAGGGAGGGGAAAAAAAAACATTAAAACAATTTATGTTGTTTTCAGCCATGGTCCTGAACCGTAAATATGCAAATTTGTATTTTATTCATTTCCAACACTCAGGACACGTTGTCACCTCAAGAGCACAGTGCTGCCTTCAATTGTATTGCAAGACAAATCCACATTGAATTCTAAACGTTTTGACCAAATGAAAAGAACAGAATTAACTCACTACCCTGCATGAGTATTCACTAATTCCGATGCCAATTCAAATACGTGGCATTTTTCTTGTTGATGAAACAAGCAGCATTCCGAGTCTATCTCAGGCGCAGCGCCGATGAAAGCTCCCGTATCTTTTCCCTTTCTTCATCCACAGAGACATTTGGGTGGTTCATTGACACGAGTATCTCTGCTGACCCAAGATAGGAACAGATGTCTGAGAGCTTCCTGCTTCTCTGTGTCTCCTGTGCCCGTGTCGTGGCCTGATAATCGCCGTTTTACCGGCAGGCATCACTTGAACTCGACCTGGCGAGGCCCGAAATGAAGGCAGGCCGACATGGCTCCCTAACAAGGCACGGAACATCGGGGGAGTGATGGGATACGGACACTCGACAGTTATCAGACTATCGAAGGTGAGCGAGTCAACAAGTCTTCCTCTTTATTTAGGCTTCGTCACGACAGGGGAAAGAGGAAATATTTTGTCTGGGAATGCATATTATCTGCTGATTTATCTTCAAAGTTGACTTGCAACTGACCGATTGCAAGAATGCTGCCATTTTAAGTCCAAATAAGGAACTACAGGCACATCTCAACTGATTGGAACATTACTTTGCAAAGTGTTACATGGGCCCCCGACAGTGCTATGCGGAAAAAAAAAAAAAAATCAATGACCAGGTAGTCGAAGTAAGAATGTTTAACTTTTAAGATCATGACATTTGCTTTTTTAATCTGTTTATTGAGGGACATTTTTTTTAACTTTTATGTGCAATTGCAATACATTTCATTTTGTTGTTTTAGTTTCTTATTTTTAAAACTCAAATCGCTGCCATTGACGGCTCTACACGTCAAAAATCAATTGAACTGGGCTGGCAATAAATTTGTTAAGTGCAGTGTTAATGATTCAAGTGTACATTTACATACATACAGGATACATAATCTATGATGAATTGCCTCAACATTCGGGGCGCTTGCATAATTTAATGCGATCCAAAACAAGAGCCTATTACATCCCTTAACAATTAGCATGCATTGCTGATTCGGTGGCTCATTTCTCTGCTTTTATTGTTCAAGAATCGTAAAAAATAAAACATCAAGCAAATTAAAAATGAGAACTGAACACTGCAGTATCCTTGCTAGTTTGGTAGGTTAAAAAAAAAAAAGTACATTTAATGTGTGGCATTGACTTTATTGTGTTTGAAAATACATTGCCAATGGAAAAACAAAAAGACAAAAGAAAAACGGACGTTTACATGGAATCACCATCCCATGACGATCATGTTCTTTTCTAACTCTTGTGTTGGATCTCGTATGTTAGTACGGTTTGAGTGGAAGATACAGTGGCAACAAAATAAGTGGTCCTACTGCGCATGCGTTCATTTCTGTGTCCCGATAACAGTCGTCGACACATTTGAGTGTTGAAAGGAAGATCAGTGGGGAGGTTATCACAAAGCCTCTCTCACTGCAACAAGCAAAGGGCTTTGTGCGCTGGACATGGCTCTCCATCGTCCACTTGAGTCTGCTTGTGGAATATGACGGCGATTTCTCCGATCAACAACGGGGTGGTGATGTTCACAAAACACACGCCTTCGGGCCCAACCAAATCGACAAATGCTGCAATTTGAAGCATTTCAATGAAAACTGAAATACAAAAGATCCTATCCCCTTATTTTTTTTGGACAACTGTTTGAGGCATGTGGACCGCTTGACGTCAGATATTGATTTTTAAAAAAAAAAAATCGATTCTTTCCTGACGGTGCCCCACCCACAAGGATCCACAAGAATGGAATAAGGATTGCCCTCCACGTCCACAGGAGAATGAACGTACTCTGGTTCATGGCGACAGAGAGTGAGGGCATTTTCCTCTTAGTACATTATCCAACAGCTACTGGAGTTCTTGCGGTGCTTCTACAATAGCTGTCATTGTCCATGTTGTTCTTGTTCTTGCCGTTTCCTTGGTCCTTTTTGGATGTCTATTGTAGGAAGAGGATACTAAAGGCCATGATGATACAGCAGCAAGCTACCCAAGGACTCTTCCGCTCACCTGAAGCAGAGGAATAATATCAACATCCCTCCCACTGTTACACAACAACTGATTCCATTTCAAATCTGATTTGATGCAATACGACGACTGAGACAATGTGTTAGGAAATAAAACGGTCTCACCTATTCTGGCGCATTTCCAGAAAATTCCGAGAAGCCTGAAAGAAATGATAAAGAACTAAAACCACATTTTCCTGTTTAACTATTTGCATGTGCCTCACTGAACGACTCACAGATGAGCCAACAAACAAAACAGAAAACTCATCTATGGTTTTCTGTTCTCATAGAGGAATCTCACGGATCTCCAACGCAGCTTGATATCTACCACTGTAGAAATGATTAAATCTCTACTTAAGACTCTTTTCTAAACCCACACATTGGTTTCGAAACCCATTTTTTTGGTCTGTTTTACTGCCGCTTCTCCTCCATCCTCCACCTCTCTTCAGAGAGAGGACTAAGCGGTGGTGTTGAGTCTTGACCAGGGGATGTTAATTATTCTGAACTGATTTGGATTAATGGGCTACCAAGAATAATAAGAATTTCTTGCTATGACTCTTGGTTTGTCCCGTCAGGGCTCACCACAACAACTCACATGAAATATTTGGAACCGTTTTTACATGTCCATGACAAAAGCCACCCAGTGCAATGATATCAGAAAAGATGCCTTGAAATACATTACTGGTAGTTGCATGCATGAGATAATCTTAATTTAATAGTTCAAAGTCAGATAAACTATGAGGGGGATGAATGGCTACCTTTAAAATATTTGTCTTACGACAGAGGGTTTCCCGAAAGTCCAGTGCACACAAAGATAATCGAGACAACTTGAAGCCTGATTCATCTGTTCCGACTCAAGTCGGCAATGGCTCTGTTATCTCGTGTCACTACAAAGAATAGGGGGTGTAAAATTCTGGGAATTCTATGACTGGACAAAAACATCCGCTGCATGTGTCTGACTGTTGATTCTAATCTGCCCTAGTATTATACAGTATATAAGACGCCAACGATGGAAAAACAAGCACATATATTAGGAACATACCCGGTCTTATTCTTGTCCAGCAGGCTGGGAGCCAGCGCTCTGATGTAGGCACACGTACATATCAGGAGAAGAATCACCATGAGCAGTGACTGGAAGTTGAAAATGGCTGACTGCAAAATGACAAGAAAACAATATAAATTGAAACATGATTCGGTTCAGCTCCACAGCTTGGAATAAAATAACAAATTAGTTGATACATTAAATGAATATAGAAATAATATTTAGGGTATATTCACACTGGAAGCGATTGCCATTTATTTGACATTGATTTAAATCCTCACTCATTCTGTCCCACACCACAAATTGACAAAAAATAATTCCCTGTAATGTAATAATGCGTATACAAGTAATTTATAATTCAGATTTGCCTGTATGATCAGAGATAGTGCATTCAAATGAACTTTATCTTCACACTCCTTGCATGTGCTTTAAAAAAAACTGTTATTAACAAGAAGAGATCCCATACAACGATGGTGCATGTGGTGGAAGCGTCCTCAATGGGACTGTTGCAGCTACGTGGCACAGAATACGCAACGGTGCTGGCAACCCATCTCTGTCAAGCCGAAAGAAATCAAGTTATACACATGAGTCATGATACTACGGTACGACGAGTTACAAGGTTGCGATCAACGCTGGTTGGCCATGGTTCAAAACCTGCAATGTAAAGTGATCATTTGCTTTTATTTACTTGGCCAAGTGTTTAGCAGGCTGGCTAACGCTAGTCGGCTATTTCAATCCAAAACCGTGCAACTATGCATTATGTTTGAGTGCCTCAGTAGGGCTGCAACAGGGACCTAGATATGCGATTACACTTTAAATCCCGATTAAAAGTATCATTTAGCGAACACAAGCGCTTTGTGAACAAAAATATGCTTACCATTTTGACGGTGAATCAACGCCACATAACACTTCCGGGCTTGCAGAATCTACGTGTTTGACGTAATGACGCAGTGCGTGTCTCGTCACGGGTGCTGATTGGCTGACGAAACAAGGGTCGAAAGTGACAGCTTGAACAGGAAAACAACTCAAAACAAAACATTTCATTTTCATACAGCCTCCGTTCGAACATCGCAGTGTCCTAATAACAGTAAGTATTTTGAATTTGGTTTTAAGTGTAGCATAAAGCGCACACATTTTGTTTGATCATCAAATCACTGTTCAGTGGCATCGGTCCTTTCAAATAAAAATGACACGTACATTTTTTTAGTACTGTACAGCACTGCCACATAATTTTGGCTTTTCCAGTGTTGGCAAAATGTTTGCAAAGTAGTTACCGCAGAAAGCATTTTAATGGTTGAGGTTTACAGAGGAAGAACAAGGAGATTTTTTTTCTCCCCATTTTGTGTAGTTGCTATGTCAATGCTTCAAAGACTTTGGAAAAATGTAGACTTGTAATCATTTTCATTACTTGGCCGGAAGAAATTGAATTTTTTTTTAACCTGCACACAAAATACAGTACTTCTTTTGACTCAGTGCCCATACTGAGAAAGAAAAACGACATCACTGGACACAGTTTAGCTGAAAGCTAAATTCTTAAAGTATAATCAGGAGTGAATGGATGGGGAATATCTTTCTTCTCCAAATGTGTTGTATTATGATTAATCAATCAATTAGTTGATCAATCAATCAATCAATCAATCAATCATTCAAAGCTCCTGAAAGTAACAAAGTTCTGCAACATTGCAAAGCACAACTAAAAAAAAAAAAACACATTGCTGAATTAGTACATCTCTGACAATGTGAGTTAACGTTTTGCATTGTCTTTTTCAAGACACAATTTCATACACCTCTTCTATTGGATGTCATCAGTTTTTGCAAATGTATCTGAAAAAATGACTTGTGAGTTGCTTGGCTTTTGTTAGATTTACAACAAAGTACACAAGCATCACATCTTACGAGTGAAACACAAGCTCCCATATTAATTTAACACCCAGCGTGTTAGCAGCCACAAAGAGAAAGTTCAGTGAAAGGACAGCTTAATTGTCACCCCCCTTTATTTGCACTCTGTGCTTCATCTAAAGCATGGAATTCGACAAAATTGGATACTTTATTTGAAACGTTCCCGGCAAACAATCATTGTTTGATTAGTACTTTGCGTACCTTGCGTTTTATTCTGTTTTTAGGCCGTGAAGACAACAAAAGACAATTGTTGCAGGATGAAGGGGGTCAAAGGCCATTAGTCAAAACTGTAGGAGAGCTATTGTCGATGATTTAAATACTCTCTGTTTTCATGTGCGCTGGTGCAGGACGTGAACAGACTTCAGGATCCACTCTGAGGGGTTTTGTGCAACTCGCCAGCCATTCCTCACAGACAGCTTTTTTTTTTTTTTTTTACTTGGAGTTCCCTTCTGTCATCACCACAGGGTCATCGTCCCCGCACACCAGATGTTACAGTAACTAATGACTAGCTGGGCTCCATTTATGAGGTTAAAGTTGAACCCTTCTTCTCCCTCATCTCATTCGGTCCCTTCCTCTAGCCGCACCCCTTCTTGAAGCACAACGGTTCAATTTAAATCTGTCATTTTTAGTACGGCTCAGTATGTCTGTGTGACGAGAGCGAAAAGTAAAATGAAGGGTGTTGACGAGTCATAAGTTATTGCAAGGTGTCTAAAAGGACTCAGAGACAACTAGCAACTCGGCTAACTGGCAATTTAGCCGCTCTTTTCCCCCTTCAGTTCCAATTTCTTTGCCCTGTATTTAAGAAAGGAGGATGTCGGATCACTCCCACTTCCACTGGAAGCACTAATCGCCTATTCTAGCCTGGACGTCCGCAATCAAGTAAAAGTTTTCAAATTATTTCACAGGAAAACAATGATGTGGCCAATAAACTAAATGGACTGATTTCATCTGATGTCGCACCAGAAGTTGTCACGTTACTAAATGTTATGTGCACAGTACTGTACTCACATCCCCTGCTTCAATGACAAAATGATGATTTGGCAATTTGAGGTAATCAGAGCTTTGCTTGTTGTGGTCTAAGCTGTGAGCCGATTCATTTCTTGTAAAATACAGACGTAATTAAGAGTAATGTTGTTTTAATGATAGCATTTCAGACTCATATGCGATGACATCTGTCAGTGGCAAAGGTTTTGCTCTCAAATTAGACAAACGTGAAGGCAATTTTGCAAATGCCATTTTGAGATTAACTAGAGGTGCATAAATCACATAGGCCTCCATTAAAGCAGACTGAAAGTGTCTTTTTTTTTCTTCAAAATAAATCATTTGCAACCATTTGCAAAACATCTGCTTTTACTTAAGAAAATAAACTTTTTTTCTGATTATTCTGACGGATTTGTTGGATCAAACCGAACACTGAATCATGATTACATTTGTGCATTTTCTGCCCTGTTTTTCAATAAAGGTATGGCAATTAAAACATGTTTTAAAAAAAAATCCGATTCATCGTTTGATCGACAACCCAATCGACAAACCAATCGATAGATTAATCCATTATTGGAATAACCTTAATTTGCAGGCCAACCATCCAACATGGCAGTAGAACCATGTCGTAGTTATTCTTTAAGTGCAAGCTTCACAAATAAAGATTGTCAATCCAATTAAATCAACTATCAAGAGGTCCTTATGGTAAAACGCTAAACATGAGATTTGCCTTTTTCAACTGAACGAAAGATGCTGAAGATATGGCTTGATTCCAGTTTTCGTCACATGTAATTACTTTGCAAGTGCTCTGGCGGGCCTCACTTCCAACACACAAGCCTGCCCAAACTTAATTACCTCCATGTGGTCCCACTGACTCAAGAAGACCCCTATTGAAATACGGAGGCTTTTATTACGAAATCTGAAAAGAAAACAATGAGGCATTTTGATGTAACTAAAAGATTAATGCCTTAGTTTGCAACATACGACCAAAACAGGGGCCTGTCAGAGTAGCTATTGGGCACCTGAATTTATGTCACACCACTTGTCTGCAGGTGAAGGTGACACGTGCGACATGAGCGGTGAAGTCAGACAGATCGCTGTGGCCACAGACCCGAGGATCCCTTATTTCCTGCGAGTTGACTTTGCCGGCAACCTCGGTGCTGGGTTCGCGCTAGCTCTCTCCGATGGCATCTCTGCATGGAATGGAGAAGGTAAATAGACTCTTTTACAACTGCAGATTTAATCTTACAGCGACTGATTTGGCACACAAACTATCAAATCTCCTTTGTTCTAATCCCGTTCCTTTCTTTTTATTAATGTAGCTACAGTGGGCAGAGAATTTGACTACTTTCTTTATGCCGGCCCCCTAAAAAGTTCGCTTTTAATAAAATAATACAGCAGGCCGACTGTATGCAGCACCTCAAAACGTTTTCCTCCCCGATAAGAACAATGTCACTTCATCATGTCCTTCTTCTACAGTTACCGTATTTTCCGCAGTATAAGGCGCACCCAAAAGCATTCAATTTTCTCAAAAGCCAACAGTGCACCTAACAATCCGGTGTGCCTTATTGTATTGTATTGTATTCCCTTAACGTAGCTCCATCTAGTCGATGCATAATGCAACTGCAGCCACTATTGTAGCTTCTATTCTATGCGCCTTACAATGCGGCACACCCTATATATGAAAACAGTTTTAAAATAGGCCGTTCGTCGAAGGTGCACTTTATACTCCGATGCGCCTTATACTGCGGAAAATACGGTAATCGTTTTTTGTTTCTTTTATTTAATTGGCTGTTGGTTTTATGGTGAAACTGTCGCCTGTTTCTTACCTACACACTCCATTTTTGTCAATACATAGTTGTATCTTCTCATGGGACAAAAAATAAAATAAAATTATGTCTAATAAAATTGATATTATATTTTCCAGGGTGTGTTAAATGTGAGAAAATGGCAATAATGGCCGACATTTAGAAACGGTGCCACTAGTACATGTCGTAAATGTGTACGTTTTTAATGGGACCGTGCTGAAAGTGATCAAGAGAGAGCTTGGAACTATCAGGGTTACCACCACCATGTTTGGATATATTCTATCAGAAAAATGTGAAATCAATTAATAATGATCAAGCATAAATAGGACAACCCACTGTTTAATCATAGATTTTTTTTTCTAATCCCCAAACCAGTCGTGTAATCACAAAAATGCACTTTTGCATTTCTTTGAAACATTCAGGATTCATCGTCCATTTATTAATTTCAAACAACGTCTTAATGCAGTTTGAAAACCTCATAATACAACATAATAACTCATGACGAGGATGATGGAAAATCAGTATGTAACGGTTTAAAGCTAGAAGCGCTCCGATTGCTCGATCACCTGCTCAAGCAGTCAACAGACTGGCCCAACTGTTCACCTGCACCTGGCAAAGGCCTGTCCGAATAATATTGTGACTCTTTAACCAGGGCGGCGGGGGGGGCACAAGTGAACCCGTTTTCCCGTCATCCCTTCACTTCTGTACTGCATCTTACAGGTGTATAAAGTTGATGAAACTCCACAAAGGGCCGTCTTTGTACGTGCACGCCTGCGTTGAGGCGCTGCTTGCCTGTTATAAGCACAGCAGTCTACTTTGTGTGGGAGGACACCTGGAAGCATAAGTGCTCCTTGGTTTGCAATTGCTGTCCATCTGCCGGGGCCGACAGGTAGGGATGGGGCCGTGACTGCTCCAGTGTGTGCGCATCTCTCGCTCGCTGTGCATTTGATGTGTTAATTGGGACCCTCGGACATCGCGTGTGCAGCTGGGCAACAGCTGATGACATCCCCCCCTCGGCTTCCCCGCATGCTTCCCTTTGAAGCGCCTTTCGCGTACATTCATGCCTTATGACGTCATTTGTATTGGTAGTTTTGCTTTGCTCCCTGTGCAGTTTCTCACAAGTTTGATTTGGATGACCTTGAGGGGGGGAAAAGTGATTTCTTTCTGTCCAGTTTCAGAAGACGAGGTTAGGAGGAAGGCCAATGAAATGGAGGTCCCGATGGAGAGTTTTGTCGAGGATCTTCATCAAGCGCTGATTGGTGGCGGACGGGCGAGAGGGGGCGGAAGGAGAGCCCGTGACGTAGACATCTATTCTTTTGAGCTCACTCTGGATCGCCGGCAATTCTCTTATCACAAAATTTGTGGCGGCGTCCCGGTAAGGCAGCATTTTGAATATTGCACAATATCAACTCAGCATATTGATATCAAATTGCCTGCCGCATGACAGCACGGCTGCCTCTTCACCAGCAAATATCTGCTGTATGAAATACTTCCGGAATGTATTTCATTCAGGCACTGCACCTTCAAACTCATGACTGCAAATGTTGACGGCATATCGTGATACACGAGGGGAATGTTTTGTACAATAAAGATTATATTGCTCACATCTCATTGAAAAATGATTTGTGATGTGGACACTCCCGCACATCACACTTAATTTAAAAGATGGCTTACAAACCCCTCAAAAGAGCCCCTCCCACTTAAAAAAAAAAAAAAGACCACGGTAAGAAAGCTGTCATCGATGGCTCATTACTTTGCCCTTAAATTCCTCAACATCCTGTGCCTCCCAAGTCAAGCATTGTCCCCCAGGGAGAAATACATGCAATGGCATCGCTCCCAATAGAAAGGAAGTCTTTTTTTTTTTTCTTTTTTACTGGGGGGGCTGTTAAGAAGATAAGGTTTATAGTCTACATTATTGCAGAAATAGAAAAGCCCCCTTTCCCTCCAGGTGGCCTTGGACAAAGGTGCATGATAGAAATCATTCTGTTTGTTGCCAGGAGATTGTGCTCTAATGGGCACGGCTTGTAAATGTTTCGGTAGAAAGGTTTACGGATTCAACTCAAGGTACAGATCGTTTCTAAACGGTCCCGCACTTGAACAGATAATAGCTTCGGTGGTCCCAAACGAGAGGTGTGTTGAGTGAGCTTTCACATGTTGGGGGACCTGTGGGTCCTTCCACTGCTCGTGGTGACAAGCAAATTTGAGTGAGCGCCGGACTTTCAGTGGGCTTTAGTGTTAGTCTTGTCGGGTGCTCGTGCCTTTAGGGTGCAGGTCACCCTGGGTCTGAAGATGTCTGTCTCTGCAGAGGCCACCGCAAGGCAAAAGGTGGGGGTCTAAGGAACACTGTAAAGGATCATAAAACCCTGATTTATGGACAGGACGTTCCTAATCTACCTCTATTTTACACCAGTTGATGAAAGCTTTTTCCCTTGTCACGCCCTCTGGCTTTCTCCATGAGTATAAAACTGTGGCTATGTTCTTTTAATGTGTTTTTTAAAAATTCATATTTAACAATACAGTGCTAATTTATTTTTTGGAAATGTAGGAAAAAAAAGTTTTTTGTGGGGGTGGGACAGATAAATGTCATTTTCATTCATTTCAGTGGATCAAGTTTATTTGGGATTTGAGTGAGCTATAACTGTGGACACGGAATGTAAAAATAAGTTTGGATGTATTATGTGGGTATGATCTAAAAAAATGAAATCATAGAATAATGGGCCTTCACACACATATTTTTTTCTTTCTATTTTGACATTAAGTGGCACAATCACAACCGCACAAACTAATGAGATGAGTGTGGCCTTTTAAAAATTCTCCGATGCATGTCATTGTTGTTGACTGTAATCACCAGGGTGTGCAATATGCGTGGTACATTTTACACACTTTTTTTTTTTTGTATCAAGTGCAAAATAGCATGCCTGTTTAACACCTGTCTTTCACTGCCCTTTTCCAACATGCGAGTGATTAAAAAGTGGAACATATTTTAAGAGCCTGATAATTTGAGGGTACGGTAATCGTGAAATATTCGACAGGTTTCCGTTACAAATAGAAGAAAGGTGGGTTGGGACAAAACAGGCATTGAACTTGACCTGACGATAATATTTTATGGATATGAGCCCAGAAGTGGTAATGGTGAATGTAATTTCGGTGTTTGTGGTGAAACTGCTACTAAGCAGGTGTTTTACGTTGTTGAGTCATACATGATCTCCTCCTCTACACATTTTTGAAAACCAATCTGTCATTAGGGGAAGAGTGAATATGTCACAGAAGGCCTTTCCCACAGAGAAGAGTCTTTTTTTTTTTTTAAACTCAACCTGCCATATTTGAATGATTAAAAAAATACCAGGTATATAAAATGAGTTTTGTAAATCGCAAAATGTCAGCGATTGTCTCTGCTCTCCAATGCTGTGAGTGTGTCGGCCAGATGCGTGAAATCATGGCTCGCCGAAAAGTGAATGCCACTTTGTCGAGGAACTTGATGATGCCAACAGCTTTGAGCTGTGAAAACGTACCCACCGGGCCATTGCGAGTCTTACCACGCCGCAGTGAGAGGCGCTAGCCACCAAATAGCTCACAAGCTCACAGGCACTCTTTCCGATGGGTGGGTGTAGGCATTGCAACTAGTTTGTGTGCAAGCAAAGACAAAATTAAAGCTTCCAATATAATTTTTCCAGTTTTTATTGTACATGTTCCTCGCTCAATGACTGTGGGAACATCCCTGTTATCAGGAATGGGACGGCGCCTCCCGCCCCTGCTTCCTGCTCTTTATCTAGCTCCACGCCTCCTGACGGTGCTAATGTCTGCTCCATGCCCACACTTCCTGTCCTGAGCTCACTTTCTACTTTATTCTGTCATCATGCCACTCAGTGTTATCACAGCCACGTTCCTGCTTACTTGGAGATGATGCTGAAAAACCCGCAGATACCGTTTGGGTTGTATTTGTCCAGTTTTGACATTTGACAGCAACAAACATACCCTAAATGTTATAATTTTCCCACACTGAAATTTGATGACTTTTCCTAAAGTGATCCGAATACACACTTGCAGTGGGGTGCCACAAAGTTTGAGCATACGAAGGCAAATGTGATGTTTTTTTTTTTTTTAAATCATTCATCATTTGGTGTGAAAAGAAGAAAAGTGGTTAGCAAACCGGTTTAGATTGAGACAGGACATTCGCGTTTTGCTCCGGTTAGGGCGAATGAAATGTTCCGCTGATCACAGCAAAGCTCACTGTGAACTCAGAAGGAATCTCACACGCCTTCTTTGCTGAGTGAGAGCTACTTCAGTTCGAAAGATTGGTAACATTACCTTCATAAATCACCACAGTGCAGTTGAATGTGACTAAAATCCATGGCACTCTCATTTTCCACCCACCCCAGCAACCTGAGCCCCCGTTAGCCTAACCTTCATTATTATTGTTGTTTGGGGGCTAGCAACCAAGGAAATACATCGTCGTATTTTCAACCTCTCCAACTGACGGGGGCAGTGTTATATACGTTTAACACAGCAATAAAACAATGCATCCTACCTGTGAAAGGTAATCCCACGCCACACATTTACGAACGTTTGGTGATTTATGCAACGTCAATCAGCTCAGTGATGTAGCACCTTTGCTGTCACCTTGACGAATGACTGCCACAAAATGGCGGACACCACGACGCACTGTATGATCTGGCCAACCTGTGCAGCTTCCATAATCTGTCTATATACAGTACGGTAATTTGTGTGCATGGGAAATGAACGGGGACTAAACACACCCGAGTCCCACTACATCTTAGTGAAGAGTGTTTCAATTTTTTTTTTTTTTTCGTATTTGTATGCTCTGACCCCTATGGTATGTGGTGTTAAGTCCGCGTGTTGGTTGTTATGACAAGCAAAGTATCTTTTACATCCATACGTCCACCCCTTCTGCCCTTGTTTGACCTCAAGCTCTGCCTTTAGCTGTCTGGAGACACACAAAAACAAACAGCGGACCACACATCCGACCAGGTTGTAATTTGAAGTAACGAACCCAGCATTTACTTTCAAGACATCTTGCTCAATGTCACATTTAGCGCCGGCCATAACGGGTACGATTGGGCAGTCGCGAGATCAAATGCAAGAAATGTATCACAAAATGACATTTTGAACACGTTGCTGAGGTGTACTTAACTCGTGTTCTCTGCGCGTGTTTGTACAAGTTCAAAGAAAGACATAAGCGTTTGTTTTTTTTCTTTACCTTTTGTCTTGGATTGCTTCAAAACTCATGCCGATTCTAGAGAATCTTCATTGTGGGATAGAATACAAAAAGAAATGGCATCTTTAAACCTCAGTTAGACCTCCCACACCTTAGTCGAGGCAGGCTGACCTTTAACGTTATCGCTTTGTCTCAGGGGAGAAGCCGACGCTCAAGAAAATAAATACGAGTATTCTGGGATCCCTTTCTTCTTCCCGCAAAGGCCTATGATCAATAACAAACAAATTCCATCTTCCTCAGCAGGTCTTGGTTTTACCTTTTAAATATATCTCTCGTTTAGTCCATTCTTCCTCTGTTAGGGTGCATCAATCTAAGTTTGCGGGATAAACTTAGAGAACCAAACACAGAGGTTTAAAATTTACCGCACACTTATAGATCGATGTGTCGGTTCACCCTCATATTTCAGATTTTTGACTTAAGTCTGGTCAGTGTTATGACCAAAAAGACTTCTGGACACGTCGTAGTAGAATCGATTTGTCGAAGCACTCTTTACTCTCGGCAACCTTTCAGCTGGTCAAGCACACTTCAGTGTATGGAATCGACCCTACATTAGACAAAAAAGAATGCTCTGTTTTGATTGACTCTGTCAGAAAGGTATTAATTTAACAAAATGTTTATTCTTGTGGTTGTAGTTTGCGGTGGTGCGAATCTGTGCCGTATCATACCGAGAGTTCTTTCTACAACGATCTGTTGCGTGTAGCTAATTCTAAGAAAAACCTCTCAGCTTGAAATGGCAGCACTGAGATTTTGGATCGGGAAATCTCGCTACATCGCAATCGCGGTTCCATTTATTTCAACGCTGAACATTACAGTGTACTTTACTTGTCTCTAAATTGACGGACAGCAGCCAGTTCTGGAGCGGATTCATGGCAGGTAATTGCGGAGATGAAAGAATTTCGAGATGCTATTATTTTAGATGCCTATTTGCTTTGCACTCGTGCTGTGCAGCATTTAGTGTATGAAAACTGAGACATGAGTACAGCCTTGGTGTCTTCAATCAATCCTTCCTCTTACTGGGCTTCCATGAACCAAAGACTCATCGTTTGATAGTATTAGTGGAACATCAACAAGTCTTAGTCACAACTCGGTGTCACACAAATTTCCCCCCGGAGAGGCTGCGCTGGATCATTGTGACATTCTTATGTTGCCTCTGACTTTTATGAGTTTCTCTGAGCATCCTTCTTCTTAGATCTCGGGTGGTCTTCCCATGTGTTGTTTCCACTAACAATACCTATTTATTTATTTATTTGGTAACCTCAATTGTAAAATTGCCGATGCCCTCGTTGGATTCAGGCTAGGCAGCCACCGCGGTAATAGCTATGAAAGAAAAGTGGGGACTGGGGAGATTTGATACAGGGCTCTATGACTTTATTGTGAATTTGGACTGACCCGAACAATCGCCGACTCCATTTAATTTGAGTCGGGAACAGATTTACAGGATGGCCCACTTTGTTCAGTGTGGTCAAATATGGTCGTTTGTAGCCATTAATGCATAATTGATTATACAGTATTTGTGTTTCTGATTTATCATAGAGTGCGATTGTTGTATTGTGTGGCCTCTAAGGAGAATGCAATTTGTACTCTGCTTTATACATTTTTTTTTTCTCCACACACCACAGAGAAAGCGAGACCACACACATGCAGGCATGCAGGGAGAAATGTCAGCATGAGGGGGTTCGCAAGTGGCGACTTAACACCTGAGCTGAGTTTCGGGGAGGGGGGTTCAGCACCCGGGGTGCAACCCCACAGTAGTCAGGATGCGGCCTACTGTGCTTTAGATGAGAACAGCCTACATGCTCCGATTGTCACAAACCACTTTTATAGAAGCTAAGAGCAGTAAAACAATGAATTGTTCAGAAGTGAAAACATATGTGGTTAGTCAAATGTTAAGACACGCCTGCCTGCATGTTCAAGAGCCTTTGACAGCTTCTGATTGAGAAACCAAGGATGAAGCTGACAAATCATCAAATCATCCTTTGGAGATGACCACTACCTGAAGACTGAGAATCTCCATGTACAAAAATTAATATACTGTAGTCAAATGCACAGCCTTTTATGAGCCAAGGCGCGCGCGCACACACACATACATACACTTGTTGAGAACCGCGGCTTTAAAAGGTTTATGATGACAGAATAATTTGAGTGGGTGTGGCAGCTATGAAAAGAAAATGCTGATGGAAATAAAATCTGATGGGAAAGTGGACAGATTAAGGCAGACTTGTTTTAAAATGACATGAGTGAGCAAAGTGCGTGTTTGTTGGTGACGTTTTCAGCAGTGGAAAGGAAAACAGCTGTGTGACTTGCCAGGGCAAAATCGGCCCTGGAGAAAAATGACAAGTATTTCATGAGTGCTTTTGATGATGGCATCTTTGTTATTGTCGGTCTGAAAGTTTTGACACAGCCTAGTTAAGATTTAGCACTTCCATCACCTTCTGGTTTCCCAGTGGATCGAGACCTGCACTTCGGTGTGTTTTTTATTTTTATTTTTTAGTGGACATTGTCTGCCCTTGCAGGAAAACGGAAATCCGGAGCATGACCTCCAAGGCACAAACAGTAGTTTGCCGGTTCGTTGAAGTGACAACTTTTTTGAGAAGGTGACGCTCATTTTATTGGAATAAAAATTGACTGTGCTGAGAAGCTCAATGAAGAAAATGTATCAGTCACAAAAAAAAAAAAAAAAGCCAAATGAAATCTTTTTTTCAGAACAACAAATCTGTTTGTGTCTCTTGTGAAATCTTGAACAAGAAGCCAAAAGAGAGAAAACTGACTTCTCCCTTGTTCATCTGGTTGGCTATGAATCTCCCCCCCTGTATTTCTTCCAGACGGACAAAAACACCTCATCATCCCATAAAGTCTAGAGAAACCCTGATGTCATGGTGTGTTGCACCTTCGCACTGCAGAACATCTTGGGGTGGCACACAAGTGCAAATGTTTGCTGAAACTCAAATGCACATTTTGGAATCTAACGGAGTGCTGTTTATTCTTTCACCATGACACTTATGCTCTGTTTTGATAATTTCCTCTACTTTGGCCAAAAAGCACCGTCAACTGGCAGTCTTACTTTAGAGGGTCTTCTTTTTCTTTTTTTTTTATTTCCCAAACAGACTTCATCCGTGCAGTCTACTGCTGTATTTGTATTACATCAGTGTTCAGAATTAGATCCTCCCACATCGCTGAGTAAGGCCCGCCGCACACCGAGCGACTGCAGTCCCACAGCTGAACTTGGATAATCACAAACAAATTATACTTGGCGACTCAACCCTTTTCTACTCACCAACCTGCCGCAACAGGAACAAACTTTTGATCAGAAAACCGCATGTTGAGACACCGCATTTTATCTAACCATGAACATCATAAGTCGATGAAAAAGAGACTTGCCACGCCCCCTGTTGATACATGACAATAATACAGAAACAGGAAAAAAGAAGACTATGGTTATTTAACAGGCTGTTGACATTCCTTTTTGGCAACAGAGACTCTCCACACTTCGCTCATTAGCCACAAATACATATGAAATTATAAATATAGATAAACACAGTACACATATTGTATTGGTACAGTTTGACATGGCCGGCCGGATCTTGCTTGATACCTGGAAAGCTAATTTCTGTTGTGAAAGATCATGTGATGCAACACCGGATTTTTGATTGACAAGAGTAGTTAGAGACAATCGGCCACTCATGAAAACTAGTATCCTGCAAATTGCGCAAGAGTTTTCCTCAGAGTGACGGGCCGATGTCCTCGTGTTGACTTTCCCCCCTACGGTACTGTGTTTGAAAACTTTTTTTTTTCCTCCTCCCATTTTCAGGTGCACTTGGGCTCTTTGAAGCTTCAGCCTGCTCCCCACCCATCCGCGCTGACCCGGGAGTTGATTGGCCAGTCGCTTAAGCGCAACTCTCACCTGATGAAAGAAAACTCGCTGCTGTCGGAGGAGAACCGTAAACTGAAAGAGGATCATGCGCACATCCTTCAAGAGTAAGTTTGAGGAGGTTTTTCTTTTGCCTTCAAATCTGAAAGAAATGACGGCCGAAAAATGTCAACCCTCCTGCCAGAATAGTAACACTGAGTTTGTTTACCGTTAGAACCGTTTGCTCCTGTTGATTTTTCGTGCTCACTGCCAGCTGTTTTCATGCACAGCAGTCAACTGTTATGACATCATCACCGGTCGCCCCTATGAGTAGTGACGGTTACACCCAGAGCTCCAAACGAGGCTTCTTGTGATTTCTGGTAACTGGTGCATGGCTGGTGCAAGGTTTTTGTCGAGTTGTTGTTTTTTTTTTTCTCGGTTAATTTACATAGGCAACATAATTCTTCCGAGCAAATGACTCAAAAACTTTTTTTTTTTCAAAATATGTTATGTATACATCTGTACGAACACTTGAACCTTGGTCTCTTTGTCACTAGGCTCGAACATCAGGTTCAGGATAAGGAAACAATGACAAGGGACCTATATGCCCGTTTTGTTCTGGTGCTCAATGAGAAGAAGGCCAAGATCAGAAGCCTCCAGGATGCTCTGAGTCAGCTCCCGCCGACAGCCTCCGTTCAGAAGAAGCAAAGGTCAGCCGCTGATAATATGACTTCAACTGATTCTTAACATACGTGATGTATCAGAAAAGTACCAGGACTGGTGTCACAAAAGCTATATTTCAAACCCAAATGAGTTTTCATCTTCAGTCCCGGAGCATCTAAAAGTTCCTGGTCCGACTGTGCTGCAACCTCACTACTCACCCAGCGGGGTTCCATGCGATTTTTTTTTTCTTATTTCCCAAGCTCAAAGGGATCAACAAGGGGAGCCGTTTTAAAGATATGAGATGACATCAAGATGGCTGTAATGACGGAGTTGTGGACGATCCCGGAAGACTCCTTCCAGCCTCCGTTGAAAGCATGCCAAAGAAGGCTGGGAGAGTGCGTTAGACCCCTTCGAAGGGGAAAACTTTATGTATGTAGTTTGGATCTAAAACATATGTTTTGTGACATCAGTCCTGGAGATTCTCTGACACATCTCTTGAACAGATTGCTGGCATTCTCCTACTGCTGCTGCAAAAAAGAAAACCTGTATACAGCGGTCACTAAAATAATTTGAAACCGAGTAAGTTAAGGAGACCTCAAAACTAATACTGCAAACTAACTTGTGAAAATCAAGTCATGATTCTCAGTTATGTATTGATTTTTAATGGTCCAACGTCATTATTTACAGTTACAAAGTTGAAGTGACGCTACCATTAACTTGATATTTTATATCTGATCTTTTTTTTTTTCACGCAGTCACTGCTATCAAACGAGGTTGGGGGTTCAGATCTGGGCTCTGGTCTTTTGTGTTCTCTATTTTGTATGTGCCCTTCGATTGGCTGGTGACTGGTTCAGGGTGTACCCCGCCTCTTGCCCAAAGTCAGCTGGCCAAGGCTCGAGCACATCCGACATCCGAATGAGCATAAGCACTATGGAAGATGGATCTGGTACCAACAATTTTGATTAGATGTGTATCTGTCTGTGCAAATTTCTGCTAGACTAGAATCCTTCTCAAAATGATTCCCTGTAGGCAAATTTATATATAAATGTTTTCGAAAGCATTTGTCTACAAACCTTAAGTTGTAACCACTTGTGTCATGTATTTCCAATATTTCAGCAAAAGGTAAAGAATTTACATGATAGCCAAGATAAATGAAGGGTCTGTTGTAAAAATTGTAAGCAGATAAATGATCTAGGTTGGCAAGGTAGATTTAAGTCCAGTACTTTGAACAGATGGAACAGTATCATAAATTTTGGTCTGTATAATTGTGCTTTCCATTTAAATGATTTATGTTTTAATGTTAATGTATGGAGACTATAATGGAAACTTCAGAATCAGTAAGAACCACTTGGACACTCTTATTATCTAAGCAACACCAAAATGATGTCAAATCAGCATAAGCCACACTTCAAAAGTTTTTTTTTTTGTAGTTTTTGCTACCACTGTTGAAGAGTAGCGTAATGATTGGAAGACTTTACTCTCAGTCTGCCCGGCTTCCCCACCTTTTTTAATAGTTCATAAAATGAAATAATGAAAGATAATTGCTTTCTGCCTCGGCCAACTCAAGTGTGGTTGGTACTGTAATTTTAAGCATATTCAGTTATCAGCCGCACACATTTATCCCGACATAATGCAGACATTACTTTTGTTTTGTTTTGTTGTTTTGTTTTTTAAGAGAAAATGACACCTCTTCGGGTGAATACGACAGCCCAGACAGAAGAGTGGAGACAATTCACGACAGCCATCCATCACTGGAACCAACCATCATTACCACAGGTTTGTGTTTTATCAGACAAAAATGAAAAGTCCAAGAAAATGCAATCGAGGAGGTTTAAACGAGAATTGTGAGCGTAGCAACGGGAACCGCTGCTTGCTCAATTTTTATTTGCTTTCTGTTGTAAGCCAACATTTGACTTACAGTGCGATCTGGCTTCAGCTGGACAAATGAGGGCCACGCTCACGGATCCGCTTTTTGATTTATTGAACGGGACGAGAAGCCAAAGAGACAAGGAGAAAATCCGAGCACACAATAAGCGTGAAGCAGGTGTTAGTCGCTGGAGTCAGAGCTGCTGACGTAAGTCACAAGACGCACTTCCGCACACGGATACTTGACTGGACTACTGTGTCGTATCGCGAGGCTTGCCCCTTGCTATAGATGTCATCGTCTGTCAACGACAACAACGGTGGTCCAACACATGCGCATTTACTTAATTTTGCTGTTTGCCGAGTAGCTAATAAGTCGCTTTATTGCTTCTAATGATTAGCCACAATCTGGCTCAGTCAGTTATGATGCAGACTGTGAGTGAAACTTTGAATTTTGGGCCACTTTGAGTGAGTGCATTTAACCTGCCCATAAAGTTCACAGTTGAAAGTAACTTACCTGCGCAAGCATAAAAAATAAAATAAAATAAAGCACACAACAAACAAAGGGTGTAGCCCCTGGTAGCTAAGTTCTGGGAAACACTTCATCTCCGTGAGTCAAACTGTGAATTCCGTTCGACCGTGATTGCTTCAACCCAGCCAACTGCGAGGTGGTCTCCTACTCCCTGCGTCACACAGCAGGCGTGATGTCAAATCCCAGCAACGAACCGACGATGGAGTCTGCAGGGATCGCCCTCCCCATCGCTTACAAACTGCATCATGATGACACAAGTCGATCCACCCGCCACACCTCGACCCTCCTGCCAAGTGCATGAATTTCCCGTTCACTTCAAGCACGTCAAGCGAATATTACTCACCGCTAATTTATCAATGAACTTTTCCTACTACTCCGTGTCATTACCCAGATATTTTAAGACTAAGCAATTGCAAAGTTTCTGGCCGCAAAAACTTACGAAAAAGAAGGATCCTAGTCGACAGTCAGTGATCATGATGTCTTGTTGTCTTTAAATCTAAAACAAAAAAAAAAAAAAAAAGAACTGCAAAGAAAACACTGATGACTAATTATTTTTTTCTTTTTACTAATTCTTTGTTATACGAGTACTTAATTTGCATTTAGCAATCGTTCCCAACTTTACATAGTAGGCTATACATTTTAACCCCTTTGGACATACTCCGCCTTTTTTGCCCTCGGCTGTGTTTACATATTAGCGAGTCCTGATAAAGCAACAAAAGGACAAAAAAAAGTGGGTGGCTGAATTGAAAACAAAAGATGAAACACAGCCTCCGGCTTCAGCATCTGATAAGGGCAACATAGGAAACAAATCGCTCGCAGCGAGGTGCCTCCAGATAAAAGAGACAAAAGATGCAAGTCAGATAATGGTTGGGAGGTGCGGTGGGGGACGCGGCGGTGCTAATGGATACCATTCACTTAAAGTGAATATTTAAACGGTTTTGGCATTTTGCTCAGAAGTAGTCAATAATTTAAAAAAAACAAACAAAAAAAAAACATTGTGAAGCAGCAGAAACATTTGAGCCTGTCGTGTACGTTTTACCAATTTGTGAGTGATTAATGACGCCGCCTCTAAATACGGGATGTATTTCTTTATGCAGGGCATAATCAGGTCAGCCAGGGTTTCTCTTTGGACCACACCGTTTCTCTTGATGAGAATGCTCAAGCCAGATGGAAAGTAACGGAAACACTTGCCGACCAGAGACCGGGAACTTCTAAAATGGAATGAAATCACAGGTTTGTCAGACAACCGTAGGAAAAAAAAAAAAAGGTCATTTTTTTTCACACTGTCTTTAAAGTTCTGAACTGAATTTGAAATACATTTTGCTTGGTTGCATATTTCTGCAAATGCATCTGACAAGCAATGTCAGTATGTTGAATCACAGTATGACACTTACCGATGCGACTGACTTCACTTAGCACTCGCCTTGAGCGTGTCTGCCATAATCCGTGATGAAAACAGATTTAGCGATGTGAAATTGTTCTTTCCGAACAAGAAAAACATAAAGTGGAGTTACGAAAGGCACCCCCCCCATGTGCGGATTCCGCCATCCTTTCCAGTCTGTCATTGAACCACATTTGCACTTCGCATGGATTAACCCTCAAATGTGGCCATTGCCTGTCAAATTTGGCTTTCTGCGCATTCTCCCATCAACTTAAGCAGCTACTCCTTACTTGCTACGGTGCCCCTGTGTAAGTGAAACATCATATTGCGCTTCGTGTTTCAATTCAGTTTCAACTAAGTTGTCACATGTTGAGAACAACTTCCAGAATATAAACAATGATGGTGAGTGGGAGGTGGTGCACTCATCACCTTCAACTGAAGTTCAAAACACCTTCCAACAGAGCTCCCAAAAGTCAATCAGAAGAGCCAGTAGGGAGCTAATAACCGGTTCGCTTTTGGCAAGTAATGGAATACCGTTTTGATATGTGCCGTGCATCCAAGAGCTCACATATGGAACATTTCTGAAAAGTGTAATAAAATATTACTTTTTTTTTGTTTAGTTTTTTTCTTGTGTGCGTTCAAGTTTTTGCTACAAAACCTTGAGCTCGGTAGCTTTCAGGAAAATATAAATTGGATTTTCATATCTTCACCCGTTGCACAGGTAACGTAAAACGCTACACACTTATGAAACATCCTGTACATCTCCAAAATGGAATATCAAATTTTGTGCAAAATGATTCAATTTCTTCGCTCCGTTGCTTCTCCCTTAGTGAGACGACATCTGGGAATCAGCATGGACATGAACCAACACAGTTGGGACCAACTAGCGCCCTATGGTGCAGTGTTGCAAGCTTCTTTTGCCCTCCCCCTCTTCTAATCCTCAAGGGGCTTCTCAAATTTGATCCAAGATGGCTTCTCTTATTATTAAAAAACAATTTAACATCTGGATTGTTTTAATTGTGCCTCAGCCTGCGTGTAGACACCAAGTGGTGCCGTAAAGCATGTGTCACTGATCATATGATAAAGAGGAACCGAGCACTCCCCCCCCCCCCTCCGAGCTCTCCAGGGAATGGATGGCGTTGCCACTAATGACTTGGAGAACGCGTTTGAGACTACACCACGAGCATGGAAGTAATTTTTCAACAGTTGGACATTGCCTCAAACTCGGGAGCCTTGGCTCTGGGTGAGATCGACGACAGAGCAACATCTTGCGCGGGCTACACCCAGAAAACAGAGTCTCATCACCAGGCAACCGCTTGTTACTTTGTTGCCGCTTATTCATCATACTGAACTGAGATTTCACTTCATTTCCCCCCCCCCCCCTACTATGTTGAAGTGAAACATATGCCATATGCCTTCAATAAAAAGACAAAAGAAAAGAAGACATTTGTTATCCATCCCTTGTTGAGAGGGTTTCGATCAGGGGATGTCATCAATCTTTGTCGACGGTGGGCCTGTGAGGCGCTTTGAGACTATTTTGTACGGAAGCACCGAACTGCCAATGTGCAGACATTTTTTTTTTTTAAACTGGAAAACATGTTTGTACATATTTCAATACATTTGAAGGTAGTTGCAAATATGTTTGAAAGTCCTTGCAAATAAGTTTGAGCATAGGCAAAAGGATGCAAACGTAGCATTTTTTTCCCTCCATAATGCCACGGGGCATCTCCTTGTGCGTGTGCAAGTAAAGTTTACTTTCATGATACGGTTTTCAGTAAATTATTTCCTGTAAGTGGCACGCTTTGTGGCTTCATACACAGAGAATATCGTATATAGACAAGTTACGGCCCATAAACAGCTTGAGGTCCGTTCGGTTTGCACAATGCCGTTCTATCCCAATGGCACACGGGACAGCTCCATGACGTGGGAATGGTCTGCTTCTCGTTATCGACCCATTTTCTTGGGCCCTTCTCACTCACTTCCTCTCTGTTTGTTCCTTTGCCATTCTTTCAAGTCGAAGCGGTTTGCAAAGATGGTGGTGGTCACAGTGATTCAGCTTGCAGGCCTTTTTCAAATAATCACCATAAGAACTTAAGCCGAGTCGTTTTGGTTAGTTGGCTGAGTCACAGTCGCTGGGACCGCTCAGTGGGAGAAAGTACTTAATAAGCTCTGGGTGTATACAGCACTCACTGTCCTAACACATTATTCATTACTAGTTTAGTGAGATCTGAATCTTTTTGCATGTCCAATGCAGACATAAAAAAGGTTACCGGAGGTTCTAATCACATGGCCCTAGAAATCAGTTGCACCATCTGTATTTCATGCTGTTATAGTTTTAGGATCTGAATGGGAGAATCCGTCTCGGCTGTGTGAAAGTTGAAGCACAGTTGTGTTAATATTCTGCTTTGCTGTGTCTGTGGTGAACGGCATCAGTTTTTGAAAAGACATTTCCATTGCCTCAAAATTGACAGCTAATTTCAAGAAAACTCAATGCACTGAAATCGTCATTTCGAAATTCAAGCAGGATTCTTGTCACATCTGTGACAGCAAAAAAAAAAAAAAAAGTGAGTGCTCACAACATTTTCTTTTGGTATTTTCTTACTTTGCACAGGTAAAAAGGGGCGTAATGGTGCATATGTCCTTTGTGCGCCATTGTGGGATGGAATGTAGTCAACTCACAGGCAATCGTAGCGGCTCCCCTAATTTCCACTAAAATCAAGGTGGTCGAATTGACAATGCAGAAGCAGAAATCGACTCGCCTGGGTTTGTGCATGACATTGACACGCGTAAACTGAGTCCATACAGGTAACTTGCAAGATCTCCACTTGCGGATGATGTTGGCTCTGCATGTAACGTGGGCAATTGGAGACCACCGTGCACCCACGACCGCGCGTCCTTGTATGACCCCCCACCCCCACCCATCCCTCTCCAAAATCGCGTTACACAACCTACACCACCAGTTAGATCCGCCTGTAGCTAGTCTCAAATGTAATCTGCTTTTTAGCATCCAATTGCCAGATGCTCTGTAAGGGGGCGTGCCAAGCGAAACGCCCAGCTAAGCATAGCGTGTCAACCAAATTCACAAACTGGCGAAACTTTTCTTGCCCCTGCACGAAAATGAAGATGCACCCATTTTTTTTTACGCAGAGCGCATGGTTATTATTTTAGTTATTTTTGTGGTTTTGAATTTAAAAGGCATTTTGTTTTGAATTGACAGACCACACTAAATGGCCTACTGACTCATTGAAAACAAATAAATTTCAGTTTTACAGAGCCCAACTTCTTTTGAAAAATGTACAATGTACCATCTTTGAGAAATTAGGTTTTATTAAAACTTGTTGTTTTCTATCCATGGTGATACAGTTTCTAATTCAATAGGTTTAAAATGACACAAGAAGCAGAACTAATTATATAGTGTTTTAGCGCATCTCACTACCGTGAATGCTGGATTTGATCGTCACCAAATACATTAAAAACCATGAGGTTTGGAAAAAAAAGATTTCCAAACCTCATGATTACAATGCGACCTTATAAAAAGAACACACTCAAGTTCAAGTCCACTCCGTGAAAATACTGACTGAGATGTAACAACGGCACAATCTGATTGATTTTATCTGTTGATAACAGAGTTTAATAAACGAAATATGAGATTTACCATCAATCAAAAGATTAAGATTTTATCCCCCCCCCCCCAAAAAAAAGTCCATCAGAAATCAGTCTACATTGTACCTTGCTTACATCGCACCACCACTTAATGTAAACACAAAGAACAGGAAAACATATATTGACCTGATTTCGGTTATGTGAGAGCACAGTTAAAATGAGTTCCTGTGCTGCTTACCTCTGTTGGCCTCCAAATAAAGCTTGAGGGATCATCCTCAGTGGTCTGGGCCTCCATGCTGGGCTCCAAAGGATCAAGGTTCACATCTGCCCAGAGGCAACTTCATTTTCTCACAGAATGGATGGCTCACTCGGGTGGGGGGGAACCCCAAAACAAAAACAAAAATTTGTTTGTCCTGCACCTGGAGGATACCATGTGCTACTTACTGTATGGGTCATTACACACGATCAAACACAGATAATAAGAATGTTCACTCTTGAGTGACACTGCGAGACGGGTTTGAATTGAACAATCTGATTATTTGCGGGGTTTTTCAAAGTTTGCAGTGAGAACTGTGCTGCATCATATTCTAATTTATTGCTAACTGTATCGAGCTCTCAGAGTGGTGACGATATTAATCATATAGTGTAAGACATGCTGAACTGTAAATCATGACTTTGGGAAAAATGCGGGTTAAACCCTGAAATGGATGCCGGCCAATCTCAGGGCGCACGTGGACAAACAACTATTGATAAACACACTCACAGTCACACCTCGGGACAATTTAGAACCTCCCATTACCCTATGGTGCATGTTTTTCGAATGTGCAAGAAAACTGGAGTACCCGGACAAAACCCACGCACACACGGGGAGAACATGGAATCTCCACACAGGAAGACCGGAGCACGGAATACAACCCTGGACCTCTGTACTATGAGTCGGACGTGCTAACCAGTCACCCACCGCCC